CAGGAAAACCAGAATCAATTGATTAAGTTTTGCAATCAATATAACATACGAGTGACGGCATACTCACCATTAGGCGCCGGAACTCTTATAACTAATCCAACAATCGGTGCGATCGGTAAAAGTCATAACAAGACTGCGGCTCAGGTTATGCTTCGATGGCAAGTCCAGAGAGGGGTTGTCGTCATCCCTAAGAGCACTAAAAAAGATAGAATTAAAGAAAATATAGACGTCTTTGACTGGAGTTTAACTGATAATGAAATGAAAATATTAGAGGATATGAAATAAATATCAAAAAGACTATTAATTTTAAAATTGTAAAATTCTTACTAAAATATTATAATTATAAATAAGCAAAACTGTAAATGTTAGACTGAAATAACGTATGATACAAGATCTTAAAAACAAAAATATTTATAACCTAAACATAAAAGTCAATAAAATTAAATTAGTATTAATTGATCTCTACAATATTTATAATAATATTATTTAGTAATAATAGTAATAAATAGTAGTAATACACTAGTACTAACAGTAAAACCACGAATTTAAATATAAAAAGTCAACATTTAATTAAAAACTTAGTTTATATTATACATAAAGAAACTATTTACTAAATAATATTTAGTAATGTTTTAATGAAAATTCAACATTTTGACGATATTATGGACCATTTATGGTAATAGTAAGAAATTAATACAATTGTTTAGTCGCATAAAGTATAAGATCTAAATTCAATTTTAAAAATTTATTTTAATCTATTCAAATAATTAGCTTATTTTAGTTTTAGATTGTGGGAACAGCCTAGGTGCATAAATGTGGCTATAGTACAGTACAGGTTTAGACCGCTGTGTAAGATATGGCATAATTTCAAAGAACTTAAAGCTTTTAAATAATTTGTTTTTAGTTTTTATAAATAATAAATTAATATTATTAAAACAATATTTATTTTGTCGTCAATTCTTTTACAATATAAGCAAGAATAACTACAAAACAAGACACTCATAAAACTTACTATAAAACAAGACAAACAGGATATTCACGTTTTCTCCGACTTATTATTCAATTACTAATATGTTGTGAATTTTCATTGAATATACGGAAAAATAAAAATGTTTAGTTCAAATTGTACATAACTTTAGATTATAAGTTCATTACATTAATCAATATTATTACATTTAGTACAATTTAACTAACCAGTATAAGTATAACTCACAATATCTGTGAATTATATCTTTTGTGAATTATTCCAAATGTTTAAAAAACTCATGATTTTTGGTATAAATTAATATTATATCTCTATTTGCAAAAGTACTTCATTTTGTTCTTGTAAAGTTACAATCTGTTATAAATTAATCAAGTTAAAATGAAGTTATTAATAATATTGGTCGTAATATTTAGCTATAGTTATGCGGCAAATGGTATATAATTTAAGATTTAATTAATCAATTGTTAATGAAATACAATTAACTTGTAGTGAACACAACGGTTCGTCTGAATAGCGGGTATGACTGCCCGATCGTAGGCTTAGGAACGGGTGGATACAGAAGTGGTGGTCCGCCACAGGATAAGGTTGTCATTCAGATGGTTCACGACGCCACTGATGTCGGCTACAAACACATTGATACGGCCAGCGCCTACCTCAACGAGAAAGCCGTTGGACAGGCAGTC